CATATTTGCAAAAACCCTCTGGAACTGTAATATCTGGACAATCATACGAATTTGGACAACCGTCGTTGCCTAGATTTGGAGTACAACCTAGTTCATCGTAGAAAAGTGTTCCCAACAAATCGCAATAATCACCTGAAAAAATTATGTTACAATAAAAATTAAGTTATATTTTATGTATTTTTCATCACCCTGAACAGACGCAAAAGTTATAGCAATAATCAAAAACAATGTATTTCCATGACTGCTTAAACAATACTACCGTAATTTGCTTTAAACACACGTCTTATATATGTTTAAGCAACAATGCACATTTAATTAAAAATTCAACGTGCTAAGTCTACAATAATTGTTGTTGTCAAGGTCGGTTTTTTCGCTATAAAAGTTTACTAAAAACGCTGAAATATTAATAAAGTAGAAAATAAAATAATAATTTATTTAAACATATTTATTGGCCAAAATGTCAGTCAACAAGATTTCGACCGAAGTCAAAAAAATATATAATTCTATTCAATTTGTATATGCATTGCTTTATTTCATTATCAGTTTGCCCAATTACAAATGTAATGTGTAATTTGTTGATTTAAAGTGTGGTAAACTATACGAACATGATGAATTTTTCAATGGTACCAGACTATGCAGTCCAGGAATTTGCTCCAGGTATGAATCTGCTCCATCACGTTGTTTCAATTATAACATTTTAACTTAATACTAGTCCCGAAAATGTTCGCATGATTATTGATTGCTTCCGACGTCCTGATGAGGGCTGCTATTTTGTATACACCTTGGATCAATGTTGCCCTACCGAACAGATTTGTGGTAATATATAAAAATTTTGATTCTTAATTTATCAAATATCTATGAAATTTAGAACCTTTCGACGATGTCGCTACATGCGAATTTAATGGTGAGATATACAAGGAAGGAGAATATTTCAATTTCCAGGGAAACTGCCTTGATTGCATCTGTCAGAAGAATTTCACAGGGGAGTTAGTTGAACCGTTTTGCAAAAGAAAGAAATGCAATATCGAAGTAACCGAAGATCCAATTTCTGACAAAAGCGCCCCTGTTTATTATAACGATGAGATTCGTTGTTGCCCAACGCAATTTATTATACGTAAGTTATCATGATTTTAAATTTTTATTAATATTTAATTCCATTTATTGTAGCCTCATACGCAACAAATTTAATTACAATTCCATCCGGAAATACGAGTCGTAAGTATTAAACAAAATATATCAAATATTTGTTTTATAATTATTAATTTTTAGAAGAAAAATGTGAATTTGGAAATAATAACTTCTATAATCTGGGCGATATCTTGTTTGTGAAATACATAAACCCTAAAAACTATATGAGTATTGAACAATCTGCAATCTGCTCTTGCACTTTACCACCTCTGTTAACTTGTACTATAGTTTAAATTAATAAACAACAATTTGTGTTAATTATTAACTTAAAATGCACTTTATAAACTGATAATGAATTAAAGCAATAAATATAAATATTGAATTTTTTGTTTTATTATTACATAATATTTTAACGTTTCTTTGGAGATTTAAGAAGCGTTTATTAAAATAAAAAGTGTCTTTTATAGTAGTCATTGTAACTTTAAGGAGTTATATATAAAAAATGTATATTCTAATAATCCGATTTGATGATGCCCATTAATTATGAAATAGGTGTTATTAAACGTTTTTATTTAACCTTTAAATGCGACGTACTTCTTATGAGTCAAAATGACCCATTTATTAAATATGTCAAAAATAAAACAAATTATTGATTTTTTACAATAAACACAGATTAATTCTAATCATTTAACACTTTTGAGATAACCTTTATTTTGCTTTCTCAAAAAAAAACTCTTCCTATTCGATGTAGGAAAGTGCTTTTTCATTCGCAAAATTAGTGTCGTGGATACTGGTTATCAGAATTACCAATTTTCACCGTTTTGGTACATGGGAAACCAAAGTTATTCCGCTTCAAAATCGGGTCGGGTCACTTTGACCCGAAATTCACTCTACAATAAAATAAATACATCTTTGCTCCGACTGAAAAGTCCACTAGAAAATATTGGAATAGCTATGTGGGTCACACTGACCCATCCGTAGTACTTATGAGTTAAAATATAAATTATATATTTTAGATAAGATATGTCAATTAGGTGATATCTTAGTTGTTTAGGAAATTGAGCAACCTTAGCAACTAGTTTGTACTAATTTTGTTTGTTGGTAACAATTTTTTTGACGAAAAAGCGTCCATTGTATACTTAACACGTTCCAAAAAAAAAATAGAACTTTAAATTAAATATTCATTGTTCCTAAAACATATAAAATACGTCTGAATAAAGTAAATTATGGTAGTATTGTTTGTGATATCTTGAGAAGAATATTGTTTTTGACTTTAGCAATAGCTTTTGCTTATGTTCGAAGTAATGACACACATTTAATATATAACTAAGCTTAACTATAATATTAATGTACACAGGTGACCATTGCGATTCATTAGGAACTCGTTTCTACGATGAACTAGGTTGCACTCCAAATCTAGACAACGACGGTTGCCCAATTTCGTATGATTGTCCTGATATTACAGTTCCCGATGGTTTCTGCAAATTTGGTGGTAAACTTTACCAATATGGTGAATACGTGAATGGTACAATTAACTGCAGACCAGCGATTTGCAGGTACTAATCTTTTAACATTTAACATTTTCTTCATAATATTGAATTAATCATAGTCCAGGAATGGGTCCCATGATTCATGATTGTTTCCAACGTCCCGACGAAGGTTGCTACTTAGCTTACACTTTGGATAAATGTTGTTCTTCTAAACAGATCTGTGGTAATATCTAAAACTATGTTTCCTCATTAATTTAAAATGTATTATATTTAGAACCTTTCGATAATATTGCTACATGCGAAGTTAATGGTGAGATATACAGGGAAGGACAATATATCAGCGAATTTAATTACTTGGGAAAATGCCTCAATTGCATTTGTCAGAAGAATTTCACAGGGGAATTCGTTGAACCTTTTTGCGAAAGGAAGAAATGCAATATTGAAGTAACAGAAGATCCAATTTCCGATAAAAGCGCTCCTGTTTATCATAATAACTTGGACCCTTGTTGTCCAATAGAATTAATAAAATGTAAGTTAATATACTTTTTAATATGAAAAATATATTTATTTTCTCTTTTTTAGCCTCGTACGTCACACAATTACTTTCAAATTCACTTGGAAATACGAGTCGTAAGTAATAAACAAAAAATATTAAATCATTTTTAAATCATTTATCAATTTTTTGCTAATTTAATAAGTTTTAGAAAAAGAAAGGAAACAAACTTATTAAATTAGCAATGACTGCTGTCAAGTGTATTTTTTTTTAAACACTACTCAAATTTTCAAGAAAAAAAAACGTTAAAATATTATGAAATAATAAAATAAAAAATTCATTAATCATTGCTTTATTTCATTATCAGTGCATTTAAAATTATTGATTCATACAAATTGTTGTTTTTAAATTTAAATTAAAGAAAGGTACATTTCAATTAGTATTGTTTAAGAAACAATGAAACAATACAATACAATTTTGCGTTAACCTTAGCATCAGTTCAAAGTTATAATAAAGACTAGAAATATATTTAAATATTTTTGTAAAAATATTTGCTTGTAGGTAATCGTTGTGATAACTTGGGTACACTTTTATGCGATGAATTCGATTGTAGGAAACAGAACAGAATGTCCAACTTCTAACAACTGTTCTGGTTTTGCAGCTTCACCAGGAACTTGCAGATTTATATTTATATATATATATATGTCCAAGTACCTACAACGCTTACAGTCCAGTCCTGGTACGTCACCAATAACACAATACACAATGACCTCCATATAAACACTGTAAAGAATGAAATCCCCTAGTTTAGTGCCTAGTTCAGTCCCCGTTACCAGAACAGACTGGAAAACTATTCCAACAGTCTAGCGTAATCCCTGCTCAACAACAATGACCCCCACAGACTAAAGAGACACAACACCCTCGACCTTCCCTTTAGAAAATAAAAGTTCCTTTTCTAATGGACAATAGAGTGAATATTTTTATTTAAGTTTCATAGTGCCGTCAAAATAATTTTTTAGGAAATAATTCCGCTCACTGCTTTATTTCGTTTTTCTGTTTTTATTTTCTTTTTTTGTCTTATGGCCAAATCATATTCAACTCATTGCCAAAATTGTGGCAGGTTGTGAATAAATAAATGTTAAAAAAAAAATATTAATTGATGTACCGTTCTAATTAATTAAATGAAATATTTGTTAATAATATTCTTGACTTTATAGAAGTTCCTAAAAAAATCTTTTTCATTTTTTTTAGAAATGTTCAAAATTATGATTCATTTTTTATAAGTATCTATAGAACCTTTTTCATTATCCTTAGTAACTAGGTTATACTAATTGAATCCTTGACAACAGGAAATTATCAATCCGTTAAACAAATTTAGAAATCTGCCCTTTCATTCATTATCGACAACGAAAAGCCTAGGTAAATAATAGGTACACATCGATATTAATATAGAGGATATATGATTGGGATTCTGAAAATTTTGGACCACATAAAGAAGAATCAACAAATAACTTGTGTAATAATTGTTCCATCAAAAGGAACGTAATTTACAATTACAATTGAAAGTGAAAATAACTTTCATTAAAAAAAAGTCGTAAAAAATATATATGTATTGTATATTTATGCAATAAATTACAGCAATTACAATGAGATATTAAACTGTTAAAATTATAAGCTTTTGTAAATTTTATATTCCATTGTGTTTCATTTGACAAAGTAAATTTTTAGGTATTCACAAAACTATTTGTTCCGCTACTAAGTAAATATTGCACTGCAGTTATTATAATCATATTTCATTGTTCTTATTAACATTTTTTAATTAAAATAAAATATTTTGAATTATAGAAATACATTTAAGTATTACGCAATAATATGCAATTGCCTGTCATACATGTTTACATTAAAAAAAATTGAATGCAACGTTTATAAGCGGAATTGTTTATAAACACGTAAAATAATCATGTTGATTGTCAGAAGTCGCGACATTAAATGAAATTATCTTCATAATGGTGGTTCTTCCAACATATAAAAACGAAATATAAAATGTTTACGCGTAACAACGATAATAAATCGCCCGCAATAATCTTTTAAAGGCCAATTTGCTTGTGACATTAATAACTGTCCCAGCTCTGTCGAATTTTGAAACACAAGGAATTTATCTTTTATTTCATCCCAACATTATTTGTTTCCCATAAAATTTGAGTCGAGTGAAAGTTCACCAAATGGAAAATAAACAAAGCTCTCATACACGCATACGCAAGAAGTTGAAGTATGAAAAACGGCGAAAAGGAATAAACTGGACGCGAGATAAACTCTTTATTGGAAATTTATGAAAATGCCGGTCGTTACTATATGTCAAGGTGTCGAGAGATGCACGAGATTCGAACAAAAAAAAATTGTTTTACACTCCCATTCGGTAAATACCTGCAATATACATACACTTAACAATAAAAAAAATATACGTAGATTCGCGCTATGACCTTTTGGCCATTCTTCGAGTCAATGCAAATACGACAAATTGGTAAAATATGATGTAATGTGGGCAGCCGAAGCGGTTATTAAACCGTGAACCACACTATGTAAACATAGGAGAAGAGCGTAAGTACGACGGGAATAACGGAGGCCTTAACTTGGGAAATCCTTATCTCCGTGAGCTCGGCTGCATTTGTTCGCGGAATTAGCGAATATATATATTGAGCTTATGTTTTAGAAAATAAAAATGTAATCAGGCCAGAAATGGCTGCTGTGGTAAATTGGATATAAAAGCACGGAGCTGCGTTTTGAGCATCACTGAAATATCAAACATGAAACATATATTTACATTTGTGTGCGCTGTTTTGCTCGCTGCAGCTCAAGGTAAATAAACATTTCATCCTTAAATCAATAAAATTAAACTTGACCTTTTCTTACGGTAGCTGTCGAACATTGTGATTCCTTGGGAACACTTTGCTACGATGATCTTGGTTGCACTCCAGTCTTGGGAAGCGACGGTTGTCCGAGTTCTTACGATTGTTCTCAATTCAGCACAGCTCCTGATTCTTGCAGTTTCCATGGAAATGTTTTCAACAGTGGAGAACGTATCTTAGGTACTTCTGGCTGCAATACACACTGTATCTGTGGTGGAAACGGAACGTTAGTTATAAAATTAAATTATTTAACAACTATATTAATTATAATTGGATTTGCAGCACTATATGTCCCATAGTGGACTGTTACCATGGACCAAAGATAAACAAGGAATGCTACAACACCTACAAGTTACATGGATGCTGTTCTACTGGAGAGAAATGCCGTAATACTTTTAATAATTCCAAATATTTTCATTTTTTCTTAACGATTTATCTCTAGCTCCTTTCGGTGGCTTGTCTACGTGCACGGTCGATGGAGAAACCTATCGTGAGGGTGAATATTTCCGTCCTGAAGGCACCTGCAAGGCATGCGTTTGCGGAACAGGCTTCACTGGCGCCTTCGTGGAGCCTTTCTGCGAGACCATCAAGTGTGATGTTGAATTGAAGGCAAATAAAATCGCCGAGAATTGCGCACCAGCTTACCGCAAAAACACTGATGCCCTTTGCTGCCCATCCTACTATGTTTGTCGTAAGTTTTTTGTAAAATAAATTCTATAATTCAACAATTACAATAATTATTAAACCTTAAGTGGTTATTCGTATATATTCATAATAGTATATCCGCTTATGACGAATATGTTCGCAAAATGATAAGTAAATAAATACGTGGCTATAATAATTTTATATTTCAGAATCAGAATCAACTGTAGTAAGTGAAGTTCCTTCTGGAGTCACCACCGGTAAGTTTTCTTTCAAAAGATAAAATGTGTGGTTTAATTATTTTATTTTTATTTTGATTACAGGACCGAAATGCAAGTTTGGAAACACCGAGTATGGTTTCCACGACCAAGTGACGATTAGCTATTATTACGGAAAACCGCGTACAGCTAAATGCGCTTGCATGATGCCACCACTTTTGAGGTGCACACTTGATTACTAAAAGAGTGGAAGAAGAATACTGAATATCAGAGTTTCAGTCAATAATAATGTTTAAATAAAATTAATAAACATTATAAATCGAATTCTTTTAATTTATATTCTTTTCTTTTACCTATCAACAACCTTTAATTTAATGTGCTGTATAATAATTACAAACTAATCCTTGATTCCATGACAGTAGCTATGTAATACAAAAAGTTAGTGTAGAAAATTAATAGTGGTCTGAAATTGCATACGGGCTAAATCAACGATCTAAAAGCCGGATTTTTGTAATAGTGAACATACATTAGCATACAGCGACAGAAACAAAGCCTTTAACTCGCCTATAACTGTAAAATTGCTTCGAGGGCAGCCTGTTTGAGACCACTGCTGTAAGTTATTATTTAAGAGGAGAATTTTCAAGTGATAATAGGTCGAGTATTATGTGTAAATAAAATGCGATGCAATGCAAATGCAATGCGATAATCTTGTTGTAGAAGCAAACACTATTGTTCGATTTATTTGTTTTTTGTTCTTTTTTTATATTTTGACCGATATGTGCATCACGTAGTTGTATAAATATGCATGTTGATCGCGCAATGCGTCAGTGTTTTCCCGGCTTTCGAAAATGATGCTTTTTCGCCTGACCAACCTCGTTATTTGCGTTGCAATCGCGTTGATCGAAGGTGAAGGTTGCGCGATTTGTAAACTAATAATTTATTATTCATTTTAATAATTTTGTTGCACAACAAAGAAATTAATATTAGATTTTCAAAAAATGTAGCAATCTATTAAATAATTACTATTGATTGAGTTCTTTAGGTAAAGAAGTTTGCGATCACTTGGGAATTATACCATATGAAGAAATTGGGTGTATTTCGAATTTGGGATCTGATGGTTGTCCAAAATCGTTTGACTGTACATATTATAATACATCAAAGGATGCTTGTATTTATAGAGGACAGATCTATAAACATAAGGAGGATGTAAATGGTACTGCTTCTTGCAACTTGGGATGTACTTGTAATACTCATAAATCTCATAGGTATTCCCTCATTTATATTTGAAATAATAATATTAAATTAGATTATTTAGATCTAGTATTACTTGCGCAGAGATCGATTGCGATTGGGACGTATCGGAAAATTGTTATCAAACGCACGACTTGGATTCTTGTTGCCCTGCGGGAGAGAAATGTCGTAAGATTAATGAAACATTATAAAATAATGTTGTAATTTTATCATTTGTAGCACCGTTTGATGATGTAGCAACATGTAAAATCGGTGAAAAAACTTATAAGGAAGGTCAATACTTCCAACCAGAAGGGCAATGTGTGGAATGCGTTTGCAAAAAGGTTTTAAAGGAGAATTCGTTGAACCCTATTGTAGACGAATCCGTTGTGACGTGGAATTGTGGTTTTCCAACCAAATTTCTGAGGGTTGTGCTCCAGCTTACACTAGATCAGCTAATGCTTTGTGCTGTCCAATAGACTATATTTGTCGTACGTATTATTAAAATAATATTCATAAACCTAATTATTTGTATTATATTTCTAGCATCCATTTCCAAAGTAGAAAATGTAGTTCATGCTATTAATTCAAATAATGAAAAGGGTAAGGATATTTATGATAATTAACATAGACTACATTTAATAATTTCAGTAGACAAATGCATTTTCGGATCTCAGGAATTCAAAATCAACGATACCATGGACTTGATTTATAAGAAAAATGATCAACAGAAAGTTGCGCAATGTTCTTGCATTCTGCCACCTTTAGTGACCTGTAGAACAGATTTTTAATAATTCGAAATAAATAATTATATTCAGAAAGTAACTTCATTATTTTGCTCTCAATACAAAGTTATATGCATTTTGTTATTACACAATTATAATGAAATGGAATATTCCTTGTAACTTCTTCCAATTCCATCTCAGAGATCAAGTGCTAATTAAATAAGTTGTAAAAACACAAAATACTATTGTTTGCAAATAAGTTCAGTAATCGGACAACCAGTCAGTGTTATCCGAGCTATCCAATATGAATCTTCGTCTCACCAAACTCGTCCTTTTTTGCGCCGCAATCACCATAATTCAAGGTAAACCAATCCATAATACTTTGATGTTTCTAATAACTTATTTTCTAATTAAATAAATTTTAAATAGATAAATATCATATAAATTTGTTAAAGCTAATTAAAAGTCAAATTTATTTTTTAGCTCAAGAAATCTGTGATCATTTGGAAACTTTGCCTTACAAAGAAATTGGTTGTACTCCGACTTTGGGACCTGATGGTTGTCCAAAATCGTTTGATTGCTCTCATTACGAAGTACCAAGCGATGGTTGCATCTTCAAAGCACTTATCAAAACCGCGAGTATATAAATAATACCGCTCCTTGCAATGTAGCCTATTATTGCAACATGGAAAATTCTTTAGGGTATAACTTTACGAATAAGTATAAATATGCTCACTATTCAGGCAACGAGTCAGTGTTTTCCGAGCTATCCAACATGAATA